TGACGGCCGAGATCCTGGAGCTGGCGGGCAACGCGGCGCGCGACAACAAGAAGACGCGCATCATCCCGCGCCACCTGCAGCTGGCCATCCGCAACGACGAGGAGCTCAACAAGCTGCTGGGCAAGGTGACGATCGCGCAGGGCGGCGTGCTGCCCAACATCCAGGCCGTGCTGCTGCCCAAGAAGACCGAGAGCCACCACAAGACTAAATAAGGAGCGAGGTTGGGAACAAAAAGGCTCTTTTCAGAGCCACTTACACCGTCCTGGGAGGAGCTGGTGCACGGGGTTTGCTGCAGCTGTAGAAGCGCTGCTCTGGCTAATTCCTAAATGGGGGCTGACGAACGTGCCCAGAAACGTCTTAGGTAGCAGGAGTCGCCGGTGAACTCAAAACATCCCCTGAAATCCATTAATTCCTCTCACATGGTCTCAAAACTAGACCAAGGAACGTACGGATTCCTCAAGCCAATTTTACAAGTTACTAGATTAACTGGTCTGACGAGTAACTCACCACCCAGAATTAACCTGTGTTGGCTTTAACTGTCCCCGAGCTTAGCTGCAGTGGGAGTTTCTAGAGCTCATTTCTTGGAACTTCGTAGTGATCAACACTGGGCGTGTTTCTTTGGAACACGTGTATTAGTTTAACCTACTCAGTAGCTCGGTACTGCAACCCAGCTAGTGTCCCCAAGCAAATTATAGCTAGGTATTGAACAAAATAAATTGGCAATATGCCAGGTGATGCGTAGCCTGTGAGAAAAATATAAAGTAAGTGTATAATGGGCACCACTGCCTAGGGTAGCAGACCAAGGTAACGTGATCGCAGACATGAAAAACGAGACAGGCAGCCTATGAAAGCCTTTCACATAGGATTTATTTACGGACATCTAGAGGAAAATACGTTTAGTACTTTACGAGCCTGGCAAGCCGGGGGAGGGGCACAAGTCACAGCTGCGGGGCATAAATGTGGACAACTGGCCACAAGCGGGTACACCCCTGAGATTTAAATTTGATGACACAAATCAGCTAGACAGAAAACACAGGAGACAGTCCATGGGGGAGGGGGATTACTGGGGACTGAACCTAGGACAACACTGAGCTCCGCCCTCAGCCCTTTTACAGTTTTCATTTGTGAAAGGTTCTCACTAAATTGCTAAATAGCCCAAGCTGAGCTCAAAATCTGATCCTCCTGCCTCAGCCTCCGGAGTGCTGGGATTACGGATGGGTGCCACAAGCCAGTCTTTTAGAGACTTCGTGAAAATTGTATTTATCATGGGGTTCACGAACTGAAAGATTTAACAAGACTAGTCTGTGATTCAGTACACACAGATCTGCTCTTCCCATCTTGGTGCAGAAGCCTGTTGAGTGACATGCAGGTGACCCAGCAAGAAAAACCGTGGTGATGCTGTGACGCACGTTGGGTTCGGCGTAAGCACATGCTGAGGTGACGTTTTCAGGTGCAAGATGTTAACCAGGTCTCAACACAGCACCTGTAAAGGCAAATTGGTCAGAAAAGGTCCAACTGTGATCTAGGCCAAACGCTTAGCCCAGTGGCGAGATCCAGAGCTGGTGTCGCCCAGCAGGGTCGCCCACGCCGGCCCGTGAGGGCTCTGGACCAGCCTCTTGCTGGTGGCCGTTTTTCGAGGTCACTGCCGAAGCCAGCCCTGGGGACGCTGTGGCCCCGAATGAGAGCAGCTCCGCAGCGGGGCAGACACCCAAGGAGCCGCAGCTGTTGCCTGTTTGTGGGGTGCGTGCAAGCAGGGGACCAAGCCTTCCTTCTGGGGTTCAGCACTACTGCATGTGTCTTCTGCACACCAGCCTGAGTGCGGACACCAGTGCAGAGTAACGTCCCGGGAGGGACCTGTGCAACGTGCTGGGTATTTTCCCTTCTGGAGGAGGGACCGAACCCAGGACCTTTGCACTAACCTACACCCCACACCCAGGCCTTTTGTTCTGTTTTGTTTTATTTTGTTTTTGCAGTCCTGGCGATTGAACCCAGGGTCTTGCACATGCTAGGTAAGTGTTCAACCACTAAGCTACACCCCTGGCCCTTTATTTTTTATTTTGAGCTGGAATCCCACAAAATTGCTCAGCCTCCCACCAAAGTGCAGGGATTTCAGGTGTGTGCCCCCGATGCCTTGCGTGGCATTGCTTCTTGACTTTCACCAGGGAATTCAAAGAGTGTGTGTTTCACTTAAGAGAAAGGAGAAGCCCAGCAGATGTCCTAAACTTCTTAATTAGCTTGAGGTACTCGAGAGTTTTCAGTGCCTCTCAGGCTACAGGTGAAGGTGACAGAAACCCATGGGACGGGAGGGGCGTCCTCACTGACACCCTCAGGATCTGCCAGATCTCTGCACGGGTCCAGTACTGAGAAACAACCCTGCTTTGCACCACAGCATGGGAACTTCAGAAGGCATATTTGAGACTCAAAGGAGAAGAGTGTGCCCTTAAATCCCAGAAAAGATATTTTGTGCCAGTCATTTAGGAGCAATATGTGTAACAAGAACGCGTTAATTAAATTCTCACAACTTTTGAGCTGAGTATTGTTCCAATTCCGACTTAGAAAAGCAAGTATGAGCCAGGCGTGGTGGCACACGCCTATAATCCTGGCACTCGGGAAGCTGAGGCAGGAGGATCGTTGCGAGTTTGAGACCAGCCTGGGCTACTAAGTGAGCTCAAGGCCAGCCTGAACTGCATAGCAAGACCCTGTCTCAAAAAAGACAATAAAAAAATAAAAAAGCAAGTATGGTGTTACTTATCCGATCACATTCTCACTTATTGAAAAGATATATACATGAGGACATCTACATCAATGTAGAAGCTACACACAACTTCTTTATCTGAACTGTCTGGCTCCATATAGAGACGCTGAAAAATTTAGATAGACAATGTCCTAGTCATATTTACATGAACAAATACCATTCACAAAGAATAAAACTAGACTTTTTAAAACTACATTTCATGACTCGTGCAATTTGTAAATACACACATAACATCCTTTCCCTGTGGGTTGGGTGGAGGGAACAACCGCAAAGTCATATCTAACCTGTGAAGGTTCAGGCCTCAGTTATCAGCTGACTGTTGATGCATCCTCACTTCAAGGCCCTAGATTCCAAGGGCGCTAGTTTCGGTGCCAGGGAAGAGTTCTGGCTCTCTACAAGGCCGCCCCTCCGATATCTAGGCCCCAAACTGATCATTGGTAAATGGACTTGAGACTCCCCTCCACCCTCACCACAGCCCTTGGAATAACAAAGAGAAAAACATTACAAGAATTTTATAAGTGAATTGCTGGTATCAAAAACTACCCGTGCTGGGCGTGGTGGTGCACGCCTGTAACACCAGCACTGGGGAGGCTGAGGCAGGAGGATCATGGGAAGTTCGAGACCAGCCTCCGCTACGAAGTGAGCCCACAGCCAGCCTGAACTACAGAGCGAGACGCTGTCTCAAAAATACAAAGAACAAAAAACAAAAAACTAACCTTATAACCTTATTACACTAACAGCAAAATTGTTAAACTACATTTTTTTTTCAGTCAATGCATGTTATCCTGTGCTTGAAAACGTTCTGAACTCCTAACATTATGAGACTAGAATTAGGAAGTGTGTTCCGGGGTTGGCCAATGGATTGGACCTGGTACCCCTTGTGACTTGGCATTTGCAGGTTCCTGGGCCAAGAGTGTGTCTTGGCAGCTTCTCTCTGAATAATTCCTGTCACTTCAGTTTTCAAATTAACCCCCTCCCCCGGGGTAGGGGGGTGGCCCCTATACCGCTGTGCTATCCTACCGCAGTCTGATCCCATTCAGCTTACTGGACCCGGTTTTAAGCTCCACCGCGATGTGTGCACGTTGAAAGCGCAGCACAGCCCCCTCACCATTCCCAGAGGACTATTTTCCAGGCCCGGTGAGCGCGGAGGCCGCCTGCCCAGCAGACTCGATCACCGCCTTTCCGCGCTCACTAAGCACTTCCCGCACCGTGCCTCAGACTGGGGCAGCTTCAGACGTGACCAAATCACCAAAACTCTTCCATATTCACAATTTCCTTTTTTTTTTTTTTTTTTTTTTTGGTACTGGGCATCGAACCCAGGACCTTGCACTTGCCAGGCAGGCACTCGTGCGGCTGAGCTATATCCCCGGCCCCCCCATACTCACAATTTCATGAGTAGAAGATTTATTCCTACGGAGACCTTGGCTGCCTCAGCGTCTGAATTTTTTTTCCTTGCCCATTAAGTCAAGGGTGTTCACCTTTTAGCTCGAAGGAAGCGCTCACCGCCTCCCCTCGGTGGTGCTGGCCGTGGGGCGGGGCACAGGACTGGGCGCACCCCGGGTGCTGTCCAGCCAGGGCAGCGGGGAGCAGGGCTGCGCAACAAGGCAAGGTAAGCGGTTTTTAGAGCCATAGAGATTTTTCAAAGACACACGATGCCACCACTGACGCAAGTGTGGAATAAAATACATGCACACAAAACAGAAGGGTCAACTTGGCACAAATACAGGGTGATCAGGATAGTGCACCATCAGCAAGGTGGAAGAGGTCTCTTGGGAAAGGAGCTGGATGGCAGCGGGACCAGAAGGAACAAATCTGAACTGTAGTGAAGACAAGAGCGAGCTAGACAGGAAGGCCTGACTCCCAGGTTCAGGGAGAGAGAACTCCTAGGCGTCCCTCAGGGCCCTCTGTGCCTGGCCCACTGCGTGCCCCGGGCTCCTCCCCTCGGCGTCCGGCTGAGCGGCGCTGGGCTGACCCAGGCTGAGGCTGCAGGCCGCGAACTGGGCTCCCCCCAGCCGAGCGAGGCGGACGAAGCCGAGACCTCGCAGCGCCGAGCTCCAGGCCCCATCCGAGCAGGAGCGGTCCGCGGCCTTTCTGCTCCCCACCCCACATAACCTGCACCCGGGCAGGAGTTTTGCGACTGTGCTCGCGTCTCCATCTCCGCGGCTTCCAGGTCCGGAATCGCTGTCAAAGTGCGCGTGATGCCCGGCGCGGCCTCCAGCGGGAGACGGCTCCGCCAAGTGGAATCCCGCGCCCTTCTCTCCGAGACCAATTTCGAGCTTGCATCGAAGACGCATTTTGTTTCTCAGTGGTGGAGTTTCCGCTTTGGTACGAATTTGGAAACAAGAATGTGGTTTCTTTATAACAAAATAAAATAAACCTCTGGCAAACCGCCGCCTTGCATATAAAAGTGATATATATGATATAACGGGAGAAGCAGCCAGGAGGGGCCCTGTGGCTTAGCTGGTCAAAGCGCCTGTCTAGTAAA